GAGAACATGGAGACTCCACGCAGGAAGATCCCGGGTGTCCTCACCGGGACGTGAACCGGCGACCTTCTAGCTGTGAGACGATGGTGCTAACCACTGAGACACATTGCAGCGCATTAAAATACAAAATTAGAAAAAAATTAATTACTCAATAAATAGAGCATCTAAGATGTTAAAACAAAGGCATCAACTAAAACAAGAACAGCAGGAAGTAAAATAAGATGAAACCTGAGTTGTTCTAAGGATAAAAACGAGTTACGCTTTAGACTGTTCTGCAGGTGCTTAGTGAGAAAAACTGGATTTTCTAAGCTCAGTAAAAACAGCCAGTACCTGTCATTTAAGCGTGTATTATAAGTTCCTGCATTAAAAGACAGTAAGGTATGTTATTAATGTAAGGGTGTAAAACACCACTAAGGGTCTTATAAATAAATAAAACCCAGTGTCTGGCCCAGCGTACAGAGAGGGAGGGCCACCTGAGTTGGATAATTACAATACCCAAGTCCTGTAATTATGAGCAGTAATAAATCGTCATGCAGAGTGATAAAGCATGTCCAGGGGCGTCACAGTCACTGCTGAGGCATGCATGTAGGAAATGTCACCGTAATCCAACACTGATAGAAAAGTTGCCTCAGTCAGCGTTTTTGTTAACAAACATGATTTATCGTATGCAAAAGAAACCAATTTGTTGTCGTAATTTAGTCTCCAGTTTGGTCACATCGTTTTTAAACGTCAGCTTCTCATCGTCCAGGTTGACGATGTTTGTACTCCATGACTTTCTGAATGTGTGTACCTCTCCTAGTAAAGGTAACAAGATCGTCATTATCAATAATTTGAATATCAATGAATTTAGTTTTATCTGCATTGAGAACCAATTCATGCATGTTCAGTGCAACTTCAGGATTACATTAAAAACTGTGTCATCAGCATAAAGATTCACATTGCAGCCAGTTACAGAGAAGACTAATCATCTCTATGAGGACTGAACAGAGCAGGCCCCAGAATTGAGCCTTGTGGTACTCCTTTTGTAATTTTTACTAACTGATTTAACACTTGTGACTTCCATTGCCACACACTGCTGTCTGCCCGTACGGGGAATCTGAAACCATTAACAATCATTTGTTAGGACTTTTCTCTTGCTGTGCTGCTGTTTAGCATTTGCCATTTCAAGCCCTGTTTTTAGCCTGTATTTGCTTACATTTGGTCCAAAAGTTGTTATGAGGAATGTGTTGAGGTAGCTACTTGCAGTCTCTGTTTGTAATGTTCTCATGAATGCACAACCAGCTACTACTGGATTACTCCAATGTTAGAGGAATCATAAAAAAGCAATGATTCTCAGGCAAATTGTAAAGCATCTTTTTCCTGCTATATAAGGCAGCTGTTGTACTTTCTCTGTCCGCGAGTATGTGAGA